CCTGGAAAATCAGATCCTAGAGGCTAGTCTTACCTTTCTCACACGCCATGGTTGGAAAGGGGACTAGTTAAGTAATTGTTTGAAATCTGTGTTCCTTGCCCTTCGATCTCTTTTTCCACCACACGCCATGGGTTTGGAGAAGAGATTGAGGGAGTGAATCATACCACACGCCATGGATGGTTCTTGTTTTGTTTTCAAGGCTTAGAGAAACCTCCTTAAGGAGTAGATCCAAAGTTTTCAAACCAAGCTTTAATCTTTGAGACCCATGAATATGACCCTCAACCCTAGACCCTCTTTCTTAGTGTTTTAAAACTCTGTTAATCATTCGCTTGCCATTCAGTTGCATCCTGTTCATCAAAAGTCATTTCTGTTTAAGTTGCTTGAAGATCGATCCATTTCGCTCGATCTAGTGGTCGATCCAGTGGTCGATTCACTAGTCGATTTTTAGTTTTTATTAGCTTTGCATTTTAGACTTTCTGCTTGTTTCTCGTGGTAGTTAACCCTCTTCCAGGGGTTTTAAAATTGTTTTGCTTTGCATTTGGTCGCTGCATCTAGTTTTTAGGGATTTTACCAATCATTTATCATTATCGCTTAGCTTTGCTCATTTCCTTGCATTCTTAGTGAACTTGCTACCCCTAGGTGTGGATTGATACCTCTCTTGCCCACTATACTACATCTCTGTGTGCATTAGAGTTTTGATAACCTCTCTGTTGCATCATAACAATCATTGCATTGCGAAAGCATGTTATCAGGCCTCGACAAGTTGGTCAATATGCGGGAGTGGGAAGCTGTCCTTTGGGCATGCCTTGTTGAGATCGGTGAAGTCTATACAGACTCTACACTTCCCGTTTTTCTTTTTGACTACGACTGGGTTAGCGAGCCAATTGAGGTACTTGACTTCCCTGATCGATCCGACTTTCAACAGTCGGTCGACTTCGTCGTTTACCGCCTTTGCTCTTTCGGGCTCCAGCTTGTGCCGTTTCTGTTTTACGGGTTTGAATGTGGGATCGACGTTTAGCTCGTGAGAGGTTACTTTTATATTGATCCCTGGCATGACTTTCGTCGACCATGCGAATGTATGAACGTTCTCCTTTAGAAAGATAAAGAGTTCGTTCTTGATCGAGCTTGCGAGCTCAGTTCCTATGTTGACTCGTCTTTCTGGGTGAGAGTCGTCGATGCATATCGGCGTTATGAGGTTCCTGGGAGGTCCACGTGTGGTGGGGTCCTGACTCTTCTTTGCCTGCTGTTCGGCGAGCTCGTGCTCTTTCTGTAATTGCTATACTGGGGAATTCGTGGTTTGTTTGTAGCAATTAAGGTAACACATCCTGGCGTTCTTCTGACTTCCGAAGACTGTTTGGGTTCCTTTCGGAGATGGGAACTTTACGCACTGGTGGTAAGTAAAAGGTACTGCTTTCATGGCGAAAATCCAGGAGCGTCCTAGGATAGCGTTGTATGGCGCTTGGCGATCTACAACTACGAATTCCATGTTTTTAACATGGATTCGGCTTTTACCTGGAGTCGGATTGTGCCGAGAGAAATGGTTGTGTCTCCGACGAATCCGGTGAGAAGTGTGACTGTGTTGTTCAGGGCTAAGTCTGGGAAGCCCATTTTTTTTAATGCTTTGTAGAAAAGGATGTCAACCGAGCTCCCAGTGTCTATCATTATTCTCGAGAGGTCGAAGCCGGCTACATCAAGGCGGATGACGAGTGCGTCATCGTATGGCTTATCTAGGTCCAGGGTCTCGCTTTCGCGGAAGCTTATGCAGTGGTCCGGACCATCTAGATTGGTTTGTAGTCGCTACTTGGATTCGGCTTTTCGTTGAAAGGATTTAATTGAGTTAATGGAGTTTCTGCAGTATAGGGAGCCTCCGGAGATGAAGTTTATCTGCTTCGGGGCGGTAGCCCCTACACCCTCCCGACAAAGCCGAAGGCCTGGTAGGCGTTGGCATAGGGTCTTTTTTGGGGCGGGAGGGGGTGTTGTGATCGACTTCATCGGGCCTCCGCATATGTTAGAGCTGAATATTGTTTCAATTCTTTGTTTGGCTGCTGGAGGGGGCGACTGTTCGCCTTTCTCCGACATGTCTCGTTTGTTTTTGGCGGCCTTGGACTTAGGTGTCTTTTTGGGTTTCAGGGCGATGTTAGAGGGGCTTTCTTCCTCCGAGGTCTCCTGCTCAGGGTCGTCCTCGTTGCTTTGCGAATTTTTTTGCTGTGGCTAGTAGGCGGGCTGCTGTGCGGCATTCTTCGGTGGAATGCCCTTTGCGCATATGGTCTTTGCAAAATTTATTGGCATCGTATTCGGATCTTTTGTCCGGGTTCAGACTGTCGATTGCGAACGATTGTTGGTTTCTGCCCGCGGGTTCCCTTTTGGGGTTTTTTTTTGCGAGCTGAGGCTGGCTTCGTGCTGCTTCTGTTCGAGGGCTCTCGTTTCTTCTACTTTTGCGAAAAGCATAGCTAGATGCAATGCGTCGTTCAGCGAGGTGATGCATCTGATCGAGAGTTCCAGCTTGAGGCCGGACGCGTACCATAGTCCGTCCTTCAGGGTTTCCAGCGCTACTCCTTCTTTGAGATCGGTTATTTTGTATTTTATTTCTTTGAATCTCGTCAGGAAACTTCGCAGTGGTTCGTTTTCGCCCTGCTTTAGTCTGTACAGGTCGGCCTCGGTGGTTTTTATTTCAATAAACACCGAGTAGTGTTTGAGGAAGACGGCTACGAACTGGGTAAAGTTGTTGATGTAGCCGCTTTCCAGGCTTGCAAACCACTCCTGTGCCGGTCCTACGAGTGTTTCGGCGAACAGTCTGCAATAGTCGGAGTCTTTTTCGTTATCGTCGAGTCGAGCTCGGGCTGCGGCGTGGTTGAAGAGCCTGATGTGCGCCTTTGGGTCTGTTTGTCCTGTGTATTCCAGGAATTTGATCCTTCCAGTGTTGCAAAGGCTGGCATTTGCTATCCTAGCGACGAAAGGTGTTCGCCTCATTTCCTCAATAGCGAGGTCGATATCTGGTGCGGAGCTCGTTGCTGTGTGCATAAATGCCCTCATTCTGCGGAGTTCTGCATTTTGCATTTCGATATGCCTCTGGACGGCCTCTAGGTCTGTTATGCTTTGAGGGTTGACTTGGTCGAGGTTGTCTACCGGATGTTGCTGGGTGGCGCGGTTCTGCAGGCTAGCGTTCGGCTGGATGACGGTATGACTGTCCTGCCCCGTATACGTTTCCCGAGAGCGAGGATCTGAAAGCCTTCCAGATGGGTTGGGGAACTGTGACCCGTGACGAGGTGGAGGCGGCGGAAGTGTTTCCTGGTTCCCGCGGGCTGTTGCCCTGCTGGGGCTCGGGTCATTGGGGTTGTTGACTCCTTGTTGTGAGGTAGGGGGTGCGATCTGTTGCCTCACGTTTTCCGGGGTTGTGAATGCTTGAGAGAAGTCAAGATGCACTCGAGGTGGTGGGCTCCTCTCCGGATCTGTCGCATGCCCACGGCGTGGTCCCGGAAAATTATCGCGAGCTACGGATCTCGCGACTTCGGCCTGATATTCATTGATGGCGTGAGCCTGCTGGTTTAAACGGACTTCGAAGTTTTGAGTCATCTGGAAGAGATCTCAGAGACGTTGTCTGGGTTAATTCCGGGTGTCCCCAGGTTTGGGGATCGGGTTTGTTCTGGGGTAGTGGATTGTCTCTCCTCTGTTCTGACCCAGACGAACGGGTTAGCTCTTCCGGTGGGGGCCGGCTCTTGTCCCGAAGGCATGTTCCTTGAACCACCGGCTACGGTTTGGTTTGCCGGGACGGTTGTTGTGTGCTCGGTGCGAGCGTTGATCGCTCCGACGTTCAAACGTCGCGGGTTATGATGCCTGTTCGGATCGCTCGGTCTGAGCGGTTGTTCTTCGCCGATGATTAGTTCCTCGCGATCTATGACATCGGCTGCGAGCTGTTCGTGACCGGGAGGTGTCACTCCGGGTCTGGTCATGGTAGCTGGAGTTGTCGGACTAGCGATCTCTGGTTCGTTCCGGATGGTTCCGGTGTTCGAATGGGCGCGTCCATCAGAAGGGATTAGGTACGGCGGATCTGGTGGATTCCATATTTCTTGGATCTATTATCTTTCTAACAAACCTTAGATCTGGCTACGGTGTTAGAGATGTCTTTGATCTTCCCCACAGACGGCGCTAAAATGTGGATGCAGATATCCACACTCAAGATTTATGAAGTGATTCAGATGAAATTAGGAAAACGATGGGTAAGAATCTCTACTGAACAACTGAACTTAAGATCGAAAATAGATAAATAATTTTTTGTATTGATTGAATCAAGAGATCGTTTACAAGAGATCGATGTAGTTTGATACAAGAGCTTGTAGAGCGAATATTGCTTTTTGTTCGTATCTTTTTTCTTAGGGTCTTCCGAGAAAAACCCTTCTTCCTTTTAAATACTCCTCTCCGTTCGATTAGCTTCAGCGCGTATCCCGCAGTCTGTTGCCCGCACGCCCCAGATCTCGCGTTTATCTCTTTAAACCGTTTTTCTCTTAATTTCTTTGTTGAGCCTTACACCCAAAACGCGGACATCCTTCGAAACAGGTTTTAATGGGCTAGTTGGCGAGCTGGATTTGGTGGCAAATCCTGATCCAACAGTTCGTGAGATTTTAAACATTTGGTTCAGTTTTTTATTTTATGAATTTTAAGAGAGAACAAAATTCACTACTTTAATAGAAAAATAATAATTTAATACGATATGTCACTGTCTTGATTCACAAAATGGACACTTCAGGTTTAACATAATTGGTCATGCTATAATTATAATATTGTAAAGAGATTTGGACAAAACTGACTTAAGTAAACAAGAAGTAGTTGGCAAGTAAACTTTCCTATGGACTTAGTATATGATCTTGTCTTCACCTTGACACAACGGTAATCAAAGTCTCTTTCCCAATAAATTGCTGTAAAAGCAAAGAAACCAAACCGATTTCACCAACCAACATAACCAATACAATACCTTCTTCTTCTTCTCTATCTTTTGTTCCTCTATGGAAGAGATGGAAGAAAATAATCAAGTTGAGCAACATCATGTCGACACTTCTCGTCCTTTTAGCTCGGTTAAAGAAGCTGTTGCCATATTTGGCCAACGGATTATGCTACCGGTACAAACTCACACCGTAAACCCTAAACCAGTAAGTCCTTTCGCTAGTCCTAGCATCAGCCAGACTCCTAAACCGGTAAGTCTCGTTGCTAGTCCTAGAATCAGCCACACCGCCACTTTGCCATCTTCTCCATGGAAGCAACGAGCCTCGTTGCCTTCTTCTCCTCAAGGTTTAAAAGAAGAGTTCATGGATGTTTTGAAGAAGCTTGAAGCCGAGATAACGGAAACGAAGACAGAAGTGAGGATGTTGAAGGAGAGAGAGTCTGAGACAGAGGTTGCTTTGGCTACTTTAAACGCTGAGCTACATAAGAACATGTCAAAGATGGCTAAAGCCGAGGCTGATGCTGCAGGGAAGAGCGTGGCGGCAATGGCTAAATCTGTAAGCTTCAAGGAAACGAAAGAGAAGGAAAATGGAGAGGAAGAGAGGAGGAGAGAGCTGATGAGGATGATGCAGAAAGAGTATCCTTCATTGGCTCAGATACTTGACAGTAACAAAGGAGACAGAAATGGGTATTTTGCAAAGACTACAAAGAAGACGAAGAAGAAACCTATCGTTCCTCTTTTAGGAGATTTCTTCTTCTTCAAGAAGAAAGGATCTTCGACTGAAATTTCTGGACCTCTTTACACTACTTCCACTCTGCGATTTTAGCTGAAACAGCCAAAACTGAGAGAAAATCATGTACATTGCAAGTGTATATATATGTATGCATATCAATATCTGTGATATCTATGTGTAACTGTGTGTCTGTTTGTGTGTGTGTTCTTTATTTGTTTGTCTCTTTGATTCTTTATTTGGATTTTGTGTGCAATGCATCAACCTGTGTTCCCTTTTCCATACATATCAATCTCAATAATGAAACTTCAAATGTTATGAAGTCAGTCTGAAAAAAAGAACAACTTCGCATACCTTTCTAGATAGAGACTGATAACTCCTTAACATCGAGTCTGTGTGGGAAGAAGGAACTAAACCACAACTCAAGGGTTTGAAAAAATGCAGATAAAGCCAATGATGACTTTAATGTATTCCTTGATACAAAGGCTTAAAACTAACAGCATCTTTTATTTCTTTTTATTGTTGTTCACCGAACAGATTATAACAACAATGTCTAAGATCCATACAGAAAAGAGAGGAAGAAATTACAACAGCAAACGAATAAGAAAAAGACAGTAACTATAAAGTTGACACAGCCACCACCAAACCCAAAGATTTACACCAAAGGGTCTTCTTAAAACTTGTTCAGAGTATGCAACTTCCTTACCAGAAACATTTAAAGCTTGAGATTTCTCAGGAGTTGACCCCATCTTGGAGTTTCCTCATCAAAAATGTAGGTCAAAGGTGAAACTAATACTCCACTGCCACCAACCTGCAATAACATTGATGAACATTACTAGAGAACCAAAAGAGAGGCAACGATAATGGCGGCTTAAAGGTTGGGGCAGAAGTAAGATTAGTAAGTAAGAAACTGCAGGGATTATTACTTACCGCTCTCAGTTGCTTCACAGAGTCGTATAGAGCCTTTTTGGGTACACAGATCACAATGGCATAGTAGTCAATCGATACTTTACCATCTTGTGTACAGTAAACTGGGCTTATTGTTGGTCCCTGCTCGTTATAAGAGAAGCCAGTGAGAAACAAAAAAAAAGCTAAAGCTTAAGAACTCTCACCATTCTGAAAACATTACCTGTAATCCTGACAAAGACGGTTGGCTCAACACACGCTCAGCAACTTCTTCAGCACTATTTCCTCTCATGTTTGCAACAACCTGAAATGAAGATATATAAGAGGAGAGAAAGGGTTGCAAGATTAAGTTAAAACCATCATCAAGAACCAATGTACATACTGTGAATTGGCCATCCGCCTTCAGGTGAGCCTCCAATCTTTCGAGAATCTCGTGTACTGTGTTTAATGCGCCTTTTCTCTCGGTCAACGCCCTTCTGCTTGCAACTAGTGCAGCCTGAAAGTTGAAAAAGAAATGTTCAGGAATCATGGTCATCAACAGGTTCTATGCAGATTCTCGAATAAGCTTTCACATCACCTGACTTTCCAGGACAACACCTCCTTCAATCTCTTTTAAGTTGTTCTCTTTGAGTGTTGTCCCACTACTCACAAGGTCCAAAATGGCGTCAGCTATTCCCATCTAATTAACAAGAACACATGTGTCAACAAATACTGCACAAACATATATCGGTGAATTATTAGAATCCTACTATAGAAAAACTTTCAAGTTTCAGCCTAACATAAGATACGAAATCAGGAAACTACAAGCTGACAACATTAAGAGTTTGGTTAAGAGTTTTTTGTATGAAGATCAAAACAGAGAATCCAGACAAATCTTAGTTATACGCAATTCGAAGTTCATACTAGAAGTATAAACACTAAACAAACAACAACGGTTTAAGAAAGCAATCATGTAGATTGATCTAACACATTAGTACACCAGATGTAATCATCAATATGCAGCAAACTAATATATTCATTTGATATCTTTTGTATCCCTAAGGAAGAAGAATCCTAGTGTTGAAGAAAGATTATATGGCTTAGATGTAAAATAGTGTAATCTCACCGCCGGAGCAGCCTCCAGGGCTCCGTCTGCAGTTGAAAACGTCACATGCTTTATGCCGTTTTCTTTCATGAATTTGGGGCCGAGCTGTAAAAACAAGTTGAATCATTCCCAAATATTATAGTGAAGCTAAATACATCCTGAGAGAAAATTTAATGACAACGGCGCACCAAAAGGAGAATCTGTAACTCATCATACATAAGTGAAGCCAGTAGCAACGCGTAAGGGTCTCTCTTCACTCCACTGGGGCATTTGAGCTAGCTCCTTCAGAGAGTTTACGTTCTCAAAAATCCCATAGTTGGGTATCTGAGATCATTTGAGATGCAATTAGAAAACCACCCCACGGTAATGATATGAGGACCCTAAACCTCAAAAGACTAGAGCATACCGCAATGGACAGATGGCAGTCTCCAAAGTTGAGAGCTTCATGGACAATGATAAGATCTCCATTTTCCTAGAAAGAAAACTCAAACATCTAAGTTATGATGCAAGCGGAGGCCTTCCAGAGCCAGAGAACCACAGTGAAAAAAACTGTATATCCTAAATCCTATAGGCTAACTCAACAATATGGTACCATTGTCAAAGAATCGAATAAGAGAATGAAAGTGAACTATTCTTTTTTTTATTATCTCTACAATAAGCATAATGATATATAAAAAAAAAAAGCACTAACGGCTAAGAAATTACATTCTGCAGATGGTATCAAAGCTCGTCAAGAGAAAATTATTATGGTCGTCACTTACCTGACCATATTCACTAAGTGTATCTAGACCAACGATACCTAAATCCAGATCTCCTGAGAGTAACTTCCTGACAATATCCTTTGGCCGCTGAAACCAAACTTCAGTGTTTGGTAACTGTAAGACATGAAAATATGACCACTATAAGTCATCATGGAACACAAAAAAAAAAAAAAAAAAAACAGTGGTTTTGAGTTCGGTTCGAATGCATACCTGTGGAATCTGTGCAACATATTGCCTAGGATTAACTTGTTTCACAAACAGTTGACAGTCCTTTACAGAAGAAATAACAAATAAGAAGAGTCAGAACGAGCTATGAGATTACAAATCAACACTTCAGAGACTAAATACTTCTAATGAAGCTTTTGATATCCGAGAAAGATTAAAAAAAAAAAAAAAAAAAAATTTGTTAAGAAAGAGATGATCAAACGCAAACCAGTCCCTCACTTGCCTATGATTCAACTCAAACCAAATCACCATAGGAATATGCAAGCTGAATAAACAGTTTCTAGCTCCAATAAACAAAAAAAGCACAACAATATGGCTTTCAGAGTCAGAGAAGACTCTCTATTCTAAATCCTATAGGCTAACTCAACAATATAGCTTACCAATTCAAGAATCGAAAAAGAAAACAAAAGTCAACTCTTTTTTTCATTTTTTATCTCTACAACAGCCAAGATTCAATCTTTTAAAGATACCAACTTCATCCAATTAGTTAACAAAACGTAACACTTAAAAGCACAACAGAGTATAACGAGATCAGTGCATATAATTAAGCAATATTAAGATAAGCGTACTCATAAAACCATAGGAGTTTCAAAAGCACAAGAAACATAAAAAGAGATTAAATCAAACGTTTGACGAACACAGATACAGAAAGCTACACTCTTATATAGAAAGGGAAAAAAAATTAGTCTGTCGAAATCAATCATTTAAATAAATTATCTGAGTGTAAAGCTAATCACTCTAATTTCATTCTCAACGTTGTTATCGCATTAACGGGAAAATAATAATAATCACAATCTCGATTTTCTTTATTAATCTCTCTCACCTTGAGAAGATCAATTGAATCGGCGGCCATACGTCCTTTACTAGGAAGACCAAGACGAATCTGGTCTCGCTCAACGACAACGGAGGGAGCGTAACCGTTCGCGACAGAGCTTTGAACGGTGGAGACGCAGGAAGTAACCAATCTGAGACATCTCCGGTGAGTACCGACGACGGGGAAGGCGGTGGAAGGAGACGGTGGAAAGAGAGGTGATGAAGGCGAGAGGGAGGGAGAAGGGCATTGTTGTAAATTGGTGGGGAGAAGGATAGACATTGTTGTGAGTGTGTGGTGTGGCTCTTGAGGAGAGTGAAAGGTTTTTATTGACCGGAAAGACAAAATATATAATTGAAGAAGAAAGGTCGAAGCAAAGAGCAGATACTGACTAGTAGATTCTTTATGCCACTTTATATGTGTTATAAAGGCCTTTTACATGCGTTTTTCATTTTTTGTTTTTTCTTTGTCGTGAGTTTCATTATTTAAGATATTTTTGTTTTTCCTCTTTTTCATAATTATTATCTTTTTTCAAAGAAAAGTTGTTGGAAAGCTAAAAACAAAGAGACAAAATTCTCCGCAACTTGGAAAGACAGATGGATTTCAGAGGCATTTCAGGCAGCCACATCACTATTACTAAGGCTGAGCCGACCCAAACAGGAAAACATGGTTTAGGAAACATTTCTACAAATTCGCATTTCACCATTTTAGAATGGGAGCTCGTCTTTTTTCTTCAAGTTCTCACCACACATCAAATCAAATTATGTTTTGGAAGGTTAGATCTAGCACCAAGGACAAAGGCAAAAATGATATAGCTATCAAGTTTTTTTTTTCATTTTTTGTGTGTGTCTAAGTCTAACTCCTCATCATTCCTTAATTTTTTACTATTTACTAGTAATATTTGCTACACATTACTCCTTTCTATTCCTTATTATTTAAGAAATTATAAAACAAAATATTTTTATAAAATTTTGATAGGAACAAGACATATTATTTATTTTTATATGTATATTAGTAATCGCTCGCATAGCTTTAGTCGATTCAAAACTAAAATCCTACCAACAAGCATGCATCAGAACGGTTCAGACAACGTTAAACGCATGAACAGTGTTTGTCATACTATTCCCAAACTTTTACGTTTCACTAAAAGATCCAAATCTGCTATAAACACTGAAGGTCCAGTTGCAATTGGTGGAGCACCAATGCAAGAAAAGAGCATCGTAGCAACTCTACACCATCAGATTGTCTACCGAATTCAAGATCATGCACTTGATCTTGCACTACCATCCTCTGATGAAGCCTTGTATCTCGAAGTCACCTCGGCATCACAGGCACCAAACTCAATTCAGATCCCTAGGCAGATCTCCCGTGACGAATTACTCCGTCGACTACCAGAATCATGGGTCACGAGTTATGAGAAGCTCCATCAAACATCCCATACTCCGGTTTAAACATCAGAAGTCAGTTTCCACTCACGAAACGATGGGACAACAGAAATAAAGTTCGAAACCAAGATCTTCATCGTTTCGGAAACAACTATTCACTCAATTTGCCATACAAATTGATGAACACGAATTCTATGAACCATTCAAAGCTGGAGTTCTACAACCCCTTTCTTTCGGTCAAGACGGATCGGTAGTCTACCCCTTCAAGGATGAGAACGGACATCAATACTTTGATGTATGTTGCTGCACAGCTTGCACAGAAGATTTTTACGAATCCGATGAAGAAATCTGCCAGAGACGAAGAAAAAAAAAGGATCCTCTTTATAAGAGGTATCTTGAGAGTGATCCCACTGTCGGACCACTAGGCGACGACAAGTACGATTTCATTGTCCAATACTCGGAGAAAAGGAAAGAACCCCAAATCTTAATGATGCAAGCAAACATTTTCCCTCCACCTGAAGATTTCACCAAAGACGGTATCACTCATAGTCTGAAGATCCTTACAAGAGCCGTCAACTCCACCAGACCTAACCAGCTGAACCAAGGAGAGAAGGTCCTTAATTGGCAAACAGAAAACACCCTCGCCCAAAATCAACTTCTGACAATAATAAATCATAAGGTTGATCAACTCACTGATGGCTACAACAAAAGATTGAGTAGCCTACAAAACTCAATCATGGAGATCCACGACCGACTCAACAATCTTCATCAAGAGATGACAACTATGGCACAACACATGATGGTCAATACGTCTCACTTCAGAAGCAAAGAAGTTGAGACAGCCAGCCTAAAAAACCAGCTGAAAGATCTCCAAAGATGCCTAGAAAGCATGATTCACAACCAGAATCGATCTGACACATACTTTAATCCTCTCGGAAGTATGCCATCAGGATTTCCTACATATCAGGGATCATACTCTCCAGGGTTTCTCTCGGGTTATCAAGAACCTATGATGAAGACATCTCTTCCAGGTTTCCTTTCATCCGACGAGGCTTTCACATCTCAATATGGCACGCCTTCTGCTAGCAGTTTCAAAACAAAGCCAACTCGGGCAAAACCAAGAAGACAAAAGGAGTCAGAATTCCTGGTCAATCCAACTAAGAAACCAACTCTAACCTCTTCCTCAAGTCACGAATCTATTGAAGATTCGAAGCAAAAAGAAAAGGATATTGGGATAATCGAATTCTCGATGTCCAATCTGCTCGATACTATTAGTCAAACTTCTAGAGAAACAACGCAACCACCTTGGGTCAGCTCAACCCAAGGGTGATGAGAAGTTTGACCTGAAGGTCCTGTGACAAACCAACCGAGGTGGTTGCGTTGTTTCTCTAGAAGTTTGACCAATAGTATCGAGCAGATTGGACATCGAGAATTCGATTATCCCTATATCCTTTTCTTTTTGCTTCGAATCTTCAATAGATTCATGGCTTGAGGAAGAGGTTAGAGTTGGTTTCTTAGTTGGATTGACCAGGAATTCTGACTCCTTTTGTCTTCTTGGTTTTGCCCGAGTTGGCTTTGTTTTGAAACTGCTAGCCGATGGCGTGCCATATCGAGATGTGAAAGCCTCGTCGGATGAAAGGAAACATGGAAGAGATGTCTTCATCTTAGGTTCTTGATAACCTGAGAGAAACCCTGGAGAGTATGATCCCTGATATGTAGGAAATCCTGATGGCATACTTCCGAGATGATTAAAGTATGTGTCAGATCGATTCTGGTTGTGAATCATGCTTTCTAGGCATCTTTGGAGATCTTTCAGCTGGTTTTTGAGGTTGGCTGTCTCAGCTTCTTTGCTTCTGAAGTGAGACGTATTGACCATCATGTGTTGTGCCATAGTTGTCATCTCTTGATGAAGATTGTTGAGTCGGCCGTGGATCTCCAAGATTGAGTTTTGTAGGCTACTCAATATTTTGTTGTAGCCATCAGTGAGTTGATCAACCTTATGATTTATTGTTGTCAGAAGTTGATTTTGGGCGAGGGCGTTTTCTGTTTGCCAATTAAGGACCTTCTCTCCTTGGCTAAGCTGGTTAGGTCCGGTGGAGTTGACGGCTCTTGTAAGGATCTTCGGACTATGAGTGATACCGTCTTTGGTGAAATCTTCAGGTGGAGGGAAAATGTTTGCTTGCATCATTAAGATTTGGGCTTCTTCCCTTTTCTCTGAGTATTGGACAATGAAATCGTACTTGTCGTCGCCTAGTGGTCCGACAGTGGGATCACCCTCAAGATACCTCTTGTAAAGAGGATCCTTCTTTTTTCTTCGTCTATGGCGGATTTCTTCATTGGATTCGTAAAAATCCTCTGTGCAAGCTGTGCAGCAACATACATCAAAGTATTGATGTCCGTTCTCATCCTTGAAGGGGTAGACTACCGATCTGTCTTGACCGAAAGAAAGGGGTTGTAGAGCTCCAGCTTTGAATGGTTCATAGAATTCGTGTTCATCAATTTGTATGGCAAATTGAGTGAATAGTTGTTTCCGAAACGATGAAGATCTTGGTTTTTCGAACTTTATTTCTGTTGTCCCGTCGTTTCGTAAGTGGAAACTGACTTCTGATGTTTAAACCGGAGTATGGGATGCTTGATGGAGCTTCTCATAACTCGTGACCCATGATTCTGGTAGTCGACAGAGTAATTCGTCACGGGAGATCTGCCGAGGGATCTGAATTAAGTTTGGTACCTATGATGCCGAGGTGACTTCGAGATACAAGGCTTTATCAGAGGATGGTAGTGCAAGATCAAGCGCATGATCTTGAATTCGGTAGACGATCTGATGGTGTAGGGTTGCTACGATGCTCTTTTCTTGCATTGGTGCTCCCACCAATTGCAACTGGACCTTCAATGTTTGTAGCAGATATGGATCTTTTAGTGAAACGTTAAAGTTTGGGAATAGTGTGACAAATACTGTTCCTGCGTTTAACGTTGTCTGAACCATTCCGATGCAGGCTTGTTGGTAGGACTTTAGTCGTGAATCGACTAAAATTATGCGAGCGACTACTGGTAGACCTTTTCGAGCATGAAGGGTCAGACCAATTTGCACTACTCCAAAGTGAAGATGAGTATATCCGTGTTGTTGCCATAGTCTTGGTAGATTTTCTGGGATGTTGAGTGAAATGAATTGCTTTTCTTCAGTGGCTGGGACTTGGCAAGATGAGAATTTGCTTGACTGGACGTATTCCATGACTCTTCTATTTGAAGATGGTTTAATAAGCTCGCGAACACCTTTGACCGAAAAAGTGCTAGGCTTTTTAGCAAAGTATTCATACGGGTTTACAAGTGGAAGTGTAGTTTCGGGTAGTTGATTACTCGGAACATATTCGATTTCGTAGAGGAAATTTATATTGGAAGATGATAAACGACTTCTGTTTTTAGGTAGAGTAGAAATTGAGAATGAAGAATCGATTGACAAAGGATTTGAAGTGGACATTGTGAGAGAGCATTTTCCAGAACATTCAAAACAAGCAATCATAAACGATGATTCTTTCTATCAATTCGAAAGCACTTAGGCTCTACTACTATTTCTACGCAGGAACCTCTGGCATCGTATTGACTAAAGTCGTGTTGACAGACGGGGGCAGTATTTTCCAGGTAAAGGGAGCTCTACTGGGCACTCCCGGCCTCTTACTTGCTCAACCACTGTTAGGAATTTACCCCCTCTGAAAGTCGTGTTGACTAAAGTCGTGTTGATTAACCAGAAAGCTCAAGCGTCGATCTAGAACAGATCGGCGTCTTTCTGATGACAGAAAGTAACCAAGGCTTATGAAGATGTTAGGAAGTCTGGAAAACTTAAGGATTTTAGAGACTCATTTTAGAGAGAGAAACTAGAGAGGTGTTTTTATTGAAATT